GGGGTTCCACAGTAATTTTTAGCAAATAAGCCATAAGCTATGACAATTCTGTGTAATCTTTCTCGTAGAATCCAAATCTGAAGTCAAAACATACCCTTGCTGCTTGAAATTTTCGACTTTGGCCCTCCAAAGCCCCAAAATTTTCGGATGGTCGTGGCCTCCATGCTTTTGAGTCAGCAGGGGTCATATGGCACATCAATTAAAGGTACTGACCTCTTCTCCCAGGAGACTTTTAAATTTTGAAGATCGGATAATATTAACACCTTCAGTGTCTACTTGAAATTTGCCCCAAAATGTCCCGTAATTCCAAAAAATGGGGATTCAGGGAGAATGTGCATAGAACAAAAAGTTCCTATATTTGGCCATTGTTTTTAAATCTGATGACAAAACAAACCTTTCCTATTTGATCATGCGAGAAACGGGGGGCACCCCGCCTAACTCCCCCTCCCATGGGGTTTTAGGAGCTGAAAATATTTTCCTAAAATTCTTGGAGGTCGATTTACCTTAAAACGCTTTCCAGCCACAGTGGCAACGAAAGGTAGATTTCGACTGATCATTTCTATGAAAACAGATGCGCCTAATGAGCCTGACAGGTCGAAAAATCGTCCCCCTTGAACTTCAGATTTTCAGGATAAAGGGCGGTTTTAGAGGGTAGGTGAATATAGGTTGTTTTGAAGGCCACGACGAGACGAGTTTTTTGAGGTATCACTGACTAAGGTCGGACGAGTTCGAAAAATCATCCCCCTTTGGACTTGAGATTTTCTGGATAAGGGGTGGTTTTAGAGGGTAGGTAAATATAAATTGATTTGAAGGCCCCAACGAGACGAGAATTTTGAGGTATCACCAACTAAGATCGGACGAGTTCGAGAAATCATCTCCCCGTGACCTTGATGTTACTGAGCTAAAGGATGGGCCGATATTCACCAAAAATGAAACCTAATGTAGACCTTATAGCAGTGAAGAACCATGCTTAGTTTCGTTTTGATAGTATCAATGGTTCCGGAAAAAAACGGTCGCAAAGGTTCGTTGGATCCCAGTTATAGATATACAGGGTGATCCAGACCACCCGTCCACTATCTTTTTCTCCAAAACGGCGGAGAATTGAGCTTCGGGACCAAAACTTTCAGAGGGTAAATCGACCCCAAAGAATCGAATGAAAATATTTTCAGCCCCCCAAAATGGCCCCTTGAGGGGGTTTTGGGGGGGGAGCCCCCCCGTTTCTCGCAATTTACAAATGGGAAGGGTATGTTTTGACTTTGGATTCGGAATCTACGGTAAAATATAAGAACATTTTGTTCTTTGCACTTTTTCCCTAAACCCCCATTTCTTGGCGTTATGCGGCATTTTTGGGGCAATTTTCAATTCTACGCTGAAAGCGGCCAAATCATCCAAATTTCAAAATCTAAAAATCTCCTGAGAGGAGAGGTCAATACCTTTTTATTGATGTGCCACATGACCCCTGGTGCTCCAAAATTTTGGGTGCCACGACCTCCCAAAAATTTTGGGGCTTTGGAGGGCCATGAGTCGAAAATGTCGAAAGGCAAGGGTATGTTTTGACTTCAGATTTGGATTCTACGCGAAAAGTTATGTAGAATTGATGTGGCGCATGGCCTGTTTGCTCAAAATTACAGCTCAAAACCTCCCCCAAGGGACCATTTTGGGGGGCTGAAAATATTTTCAATCGATTCTTTGGGGTCGATTAACCCTATGAAAGTTTTGGTCCCGAAGCTCAATTCTCCGCCGTTTTCGAGAAAAAGATAGTGGACGGGTGGTCTGGATCACCCTGTATATAGAGGATATCAAGTTCCTATATCCAAGATGTATCGACCATTTTATTTAAGTTTGCGAAACTTATACAGTACACAGCCGACGTTTCAGAGCCAGATTTTCGCTATCATCGGGGCAAAGTTATTCATGGCTGAAGGAGGTAAAACATGGGGACCCGACCCAGTCACAGCAACACAGACCAGTTGAACGAACCAGTTGAAAAAAAATGATCAAGTGAAGTTAAATCTGGAGGGATTTTATATTTTAGAAAATCATAATTCTATAAATTCTGAGACTAAATTTGCTTACTTTGAGGAATATTTTGTTGCTGCTAGCTCTTGCATTGAACATAGCTATGTTTATGCGAGGTTCGAAGCCAAGGTTTTACGAAACCCGAGTTTCTTCCGTCAAGTTTATGAGGGCGCTGAGACCCGACTTTCGTGGAAGATCAAACTTTCCAATTTTGGCTATGTTTGTGCATATTATATTTTCAATTGAACTCATCATGCTGCTAGGTTAGGTTGTAATTTCATCATAAGTTGGAAAATTAGCTGCGGAGGTTTAATTATTATGTTCACTTTTAGAAATTAAATGAATAACCCTCAAGACTAAGTACGAGCATATTTTGAGCTCAGAAAAGTTACTAAAAATAGTGAGATAATAATGTAAAAAAAATTAGTAAGACAGAAGCAGAAATTCACTATTGTTGAATGAGCTTCAAATGATCTCACAATTTTGAAAATGTAGGAGTGCTGAAGTTACATAGCATCGCACCTACATGCCATCCGGAGTCTTGAAGATTGTACATCTGTCATAATTGCAGTGAAGCAAATGGAGAATGGGGAATACTTTCTTCAAATTATGATCAAAATCAGAGGAAGTCAATAAATCATCAATATGTTAGTGGAGTGGGAGAGTCTAACCCTTATTAAGGCAGGGGCCAATCTAATCAAATTGTTGATGTTTCATAGATTTTGAATTTCCATATTCCCAGTGGTACGCGCTGAAATTAATTATTCTCATTCTCTCTTTCGGACTGACCTCTGAGTTTATGAGCAAGATAGAAAGAGAAGAGGCAAGGTACTACTGTTTGCATTATCTGTTTTTCTCTTGAACTTGAATTTCAAAGGTGCCTCTAGTAGAGAGCAAGTGAGAGACAAGATTTCAGCATTTGCCATTGCATCAGCAAAACAAAGGCACAAACCTGGCCTTGTCCATGAAATTGATGGGTGTAGAGTGCCGATTATTGAAAGCCAATATAAACTCCATTCAACAGTGCTTCTGACTTAGATTATTAGAGGAGATTGGAACAAAGCTTTTAGTCTATCTGTTAAGCGTATTCACTAACATTGACTTTTGTCACAAGACATTTTAGCTTGGACAGCCACTCTCCACATTTCATGCATCTATTCCAAGGCTCAATTTTTGCATGACGTTCAACGACCAACAATTGCTATATGTCTCAGTAGAAACCCATATATGTAGTTATCACGAATTGCAGATCCTCGAACACAGATAACTCACTTACCAGAGATCCCCTTCCTGCTGCTTCAGTATAAGGAGAATGACTATATTTGGTAGCAAAAACTTTGAACCAGTCTTAGCAAGTGACGGTCTTAGAATTTGAGTTATCATTCACAAGAAATTGGATGAAAGAAATAAGTCAGCAGCTCACGGTTGTATCTGGTCTTTCACTGTCAGTTGGATAACCAGAAAATAGATGCACTACAAACACACAAATTCAAGAGCTACGCTACAGCTCCGCTTGGACCATATTTTAGATTTAATTGGTAGATAGAGATATGGTGATGGAGCAGGGTGCCTTACCTTGAAATCCGGAAATCGTGCAGATATAATAAAACTAGTTTTGCGCAGGAGGTAAAATAGTGAAGCTATTATTCAGTTGTAGATGTAGCCTGTAAGTTGGATGGATGAAAAGGAGCATAAGTTTTGGTGAGAAAACGCTACTTGCATTAATACACGTCATCAACTAATAGGTAACACTAGGTAAGTGAAAGAATTAATGAGAAAAAATGAATCATTTGAATGATTACAAATTGTGTTCGTTTGCCAACACACTTCTCTTGACACACAAAAACAATTATAGTTGGAGAGATCATAATTGAGGTTGATTTAAACAACGATCGGTTCTTCTGAATTATAAGTCTTAATACTTGGACTGCAGTGACCAAATTTTGGGTAAAGTAATTTCATCCAAAATTCGGCAAGAATAATTTGAAGACAATGTGATAACCCAACTTAAATCTGACGATTAACACCTTCACCAGAAAACTACATTTAAATGCTAAATCTGGGTAGATCCAGCCACATACAACGCAAGGAATTTTGTGAAAGAACTTGAAGAATAATTATTGAAATTACGAGCTTAAACAATCTTTACTTAAAGGCAAAACTACAAAAAAGTTGAGGGGAAACACGAATTGTTAACAAACATTGTGACAACAAATCCGCCATTGTACCGATCGCTCGCCTGGAAATTGCATTTTAACTTGAAATTTAACCTCCAATTTGTTTATATGGAATGCAAAAACCGAGTCTTTCATGTAAAATAAGGTTTCAAACACACATTACGGAAACGTACATTACGTTAGTTCGAACGCATCGTTTATGCTGTGATTTGAACATTGGCTTCGATTGAAGTGAGACTTCGAGTCTCGGATAAACACAGCTAATGAGAGTTCTGCCTCTCTATTAGTATGTGCTTATTGTTATAGTTTGTCGTGTTCACTTGTTATCTCTGTGTATCTAGCGTTTAACAACTGGTCTCTCGCTGTGACTGGACTAGGTTCTCGTGTTTTTCCTTGTCCAGTCATGAATAACTTCGCCCTGATGATAAAGCAAATCCGGCTTTGAAACGTCCGCTGTGTACTGTATAAGTTTCGCAAATTTAAATAAAATGTTTAATATATCTAGTAAAAAGTGTTCAGTTATTATGTATTAAACAACTGCAAAATTTTGTATTTGAAAATATAATATTAATAATATGATATGGATACTCTCAACTGTCCTTGAAATGTCTTAAAGTACATGGATAATTACTCAAATTCAAACCATTTTATCTTATTTCATGACAACTGTTGCTATAACTGCTTCCAGCTTTTTTTCCCCTATAGATCGTGACTTTTCCGTGAAACTAGTTTTTATGTAATTTTATTTGCATAACGAGGACATAAAAAAATTTTGAAACTAAAAGCTGGAATTAAGATACTCACCTCAAAATCAGCTTCGGCCTGTGGGATAATACTGCCATTATTTTCGATGAACGCAAATGCCAAATTAATATGGGTACACAAATTAGGATCTATATTACCGGGTAACAGCTGTCCTGTTGAGACGTTTTTGGGAAGAGTATAGTAGCATACTAGTTTGTATTTCTTTGGAATGTATCGAAATTTCTGATCAGCCTCGGCGTGAACATTCTTTGCAAAAGTGTTCCAATTGGTAGAATTTGCATGGTCATAGGTGGACTGAGCATACTTTTCGGCTCTATGTTTTACAAATTTATAGTCCCCTGAAAGAAAACATTACAAAAATAAAGTTATTTTTGCATAACTAGGATATTATGAGCCTTTCACAATGTGAGAGCTCCTTTGGTTAGATTCTTGCAATAAGAACTATAAGCTTTCATGAGCTCTGTTGGAAGTTTGTATGGTTTCACTTAAATGAAAAGAGTCGTCGATTCATAGGGATAAAATTTATTGACCAAGAATACAGCGGACACGATGATGAATGAATGTGCAAAGTACAGAGAAGTGGTGACATACCTAAGTCACCGGTGTGTATGCCTATAATGGACCACTAGATAAGGTACGAATTTCAGCATTCTGATACATGTTTCTTAACCAAAATTTTACGTAAAACACGATGCACACAACGAAAAGTACCGAAATTAACTCCTTCCGAAGATATTTAATGATTCTTGATGCGTGAATTGAAACCACCCGCTCATGAAAACTCAATGCTCTACGTGATTCACATCGCGCGCTAAACGGTATCATGACAGTCTCTGCGATATAAAAATCTGGCAACCTCAATCTTGACGCTTTGGCTCAGTTATAGCAAATTGCTAATAGCTTGAACAACACATGGTGGGAAATGAACATTGCTCGATTGAGAAGCTCGCTGAAACCGTTGTAGTGGGCGATTTGACTCACGTAGAGCTTTGAGTTTCTTGTGAGCAGGCAGTTTAAATTCCTCGTAACCAATGTGTAATAAAAACGTTAATATCTTCGTTAGGAGTTGGTTTCAGTAATTTTCGTTGTGTGAATCGTGTTCTATGTGAAATTCTGGTTAAGAAACATGAATCAGATCGCTTAAATTCGTACCTTGTCTAGTGGTCCATTGGAGGCAACTCAGTTGCTGTTTCCGATAGCGTGTAGTACTCTGCATGTGTCGATGCTTTTGATACGACCTGTTGTTTTTGGGATTTCCAAAGATTGGTACATGCTTTAAACGAATTAGAAAGCCTGAAGTTGATTTTCGATCGATCGGATTCCTTTAGGATTATGAGAGAAAGTTAGTTTGAGGTTTTTTGTCGAATGCAAGTATTTGAGAACATGTAATGCGTAATTGTAATGCATTTCCGAGCAACAATTCTGGAAACGTGATAAGTAGTTGACAGCGAAAGAAACATCTGGGCGTGTATCCGTTACTGTAGACCAAGACAAAGACATTGAGTCACGTAGACCGTGCATCCCGTGTTACGAAAGCCGAAGCAACTTTTAAAAATTCGCATGTGATGAGTGGTGGCACCGACCCGCATCAATGAGTTCGTGTGTCCCATCTACGCATGCACAGTAGCGGCTCCAGTGAATTTTTGTCGGATTGTGAGGCTTTTTTCCTCGGTTAATAATTAGTTCGGAAAAATGAAACAATGCTATTCGGGTGTAAAATTATGTGTTCTAAAACTTTTCTTCTTAGGAATTTTGTCTGAAAATGGACTCTAAACGAGATATTCGTGAAAAACCGAGCGCGGGCATGAATTCTCCATTGCCTCTCTGCAGTCTCTTCGAGTGCTTGGGACACACGCTCTCTCCCCTTCCCCGCCCGCCCATCATGGGGCTCCGAGAGACTTGCTTCGCTCCGCCAGTACTAATCCGAGCCGGGCGCACGGTCAACGTGATTCAATGTCTTTGCATTTAAATCAGTCATTTAAAAGATTTTACAAAGTTGGTTCTTAAAATTAATAATTAAAGATAATTGAGAGCTTCCTAACAGCATATCATCGACATGAATCAATATGCAAATATATCTATTCTCAGAAAGTGAACAGGGGTGCAAATTGCGCTGAGGCTGAGAGGTACTTGTTACTTTTCTAGATTTTTCAGATTTGCAATTCTTGTGGAATACTTACGGTGACTTTGGCACACGTTCTAAAATTAACAAGAAATTCCACAAAATGTTGATCCGCGCGTTGTGCTGACTTTCTTGCGAGAACCTAGCGCGAAGCTGAAAATTGCAGAGGCATAAAACAATTTTCACTTTGGTTTGCACTAACAAATAGCACAACAATCCTGCACTAACAAATAGGCGAGTCATTATTTTCATCTCACTTATTTTTCATTTTGACGGTGCCTAATAACCCTTGGGCATCGCTGTCAGTGCCCGGGCATGGTTGCCTTACTCTCTCGATCCCAATCTTGGCCCAACCGTTTAAAGCACTTCTCGGGCACCGTCGTCAATGTCCGGGCATTGACGACGATGCCCGAGACCCGGACGTTGCCCGTAACATATATATCAACAGCTCTTGCTGACGATAACCTGCTACCTTCATCAACTTAATCTAAAACTTAGAAAACTAGATGCGCCAACTAATGTACTATCATTTCCATGCAAACAGTCAACCTTGTATTAATTGAGGAATGATATATACAGTTTTTACTATGCCTTAGAATTCTTACTATTTGGAGTCAGGGAATAAAAAAATTGCATCATTGTTTGCATTTTTATTGGCCAAGTAAGTTCATGGTGGAACTTTTCTTCTACTTGGTAGTAATGAAGGTAAATATTTATTCGTCTCTTATTTGGATGAGAATTACCTACATCAAACATGTATGACATACTGTGACACTGGTTTCCGCTAAAAGGTACTCTCCTGATATTGCAACAATACTGGAAAAATTCATAATTCAATTAGAGGAAACAGGACCTCATCAGGGTGTTATCTTGCAAGTTATAGGTAAGAATTGGCTATACTTCGATCCTTTGAGATTCTTTCATCATTCAGAAATAAAAAACTGAATTCAGCTTGAACAGGCACAGCTCTAGGAAGGAATGTGACGGATAATTTATATCTCATCTCACTTATCACACAACGCTTCGCATGTTGTAATATATAAGTAATTTCAGCCGTAAATCGGCAACAATGCACTGAAAAGTGCAAGGCGCACATACTTGCATTTTTTCCCCGCGGTGGCTTCACCGTTGTTGCTCTTACCCAGTTCAGTTCGTATCTAGGCCTCGAGAATGTAAACAGCCTCAGTCCAAAACTCCATGTCTTATTTCAATAAAGCTTGTAATACCGTGTTACGAAATGCGTTGCTTCATATCCTCAAATCAAAACAACACAACAGGTTATGCCGCCCAGTGATCGCATCTGCATTTTTTTTAAAACCAAATTACGAAGACGGAGATGGAGTTTCTTTCGATTCGTGGATTGTGTCTTGTTCGTGCGTTCATTGCGTGTTCGTTGATCGTTCTCCGTTCGTTACGTTTTACTACGAGTCGCGAAGTGCTTAATAATGGGCTGGTTCTCTGACAATAAAGAAAACACCATTAATATTAAAAGTGATCTGGATATTCATGACCTAATGCTATATGCATTATTATTTCTACTGGTCCTTATATTAATAGGGTTCTACATTGCGCAGAAGTGCAAAAAACTGAAAACTCGACACGACGCCCTGGAGCGCAGAATTCGTGGAGTGTAATAACCTTAAAAATTAAAATTAAAACTTAAGAAATTAAAATTTAAAAAAAAAAAAAAAAAAAAAAAAAAAAAAATTAAAAAATTAAAAATTAAGAAATTAAAAAATTAAAAAAATTAAAAATAAGAAATTAAAAAATTAAAAATTAAGAACCGAAAAAAAACCCGAGATTGAAAACCGATAACATTAAAAAAAATAAAAGTGCTGTGGTTGTGCGACTGTGTTGAATCGAAAAATTATCACGGACAATTTTTTTTTCGTGTAAAAGCGGACAGTTTATGTATTTTTTGTTGTTGTGTTGATCAGCTTAGATCACAAAAATGGATGCAATTCTAACAAGTGCCGGTTTCTCGACCATTACGAAGTTGAAGGGTGTTTCGAATTACACTCTCTGGAAATTTGAGGTAAAGATCTTTCTTGAAGCAGCAAAAGTTTATAATGTAGCGGTCGGTAACGATGCTAAACCTCTTTTAGACGCGGATAAACTTAAAACCTGGAATGAGTCAGACGCAATGGCGAGAAAAATAATTGTAACTACAATAGATAAGAGCCTCTTGACTCACATTTTGACTTGCACCTATGCCCATGAGATGTGGTCGACATTAAAAAATCTCTTTGGAAAATCAACTGAGCAGGAAAAAAGTGCCTTGTATCAAGAATTTTTTGGCTTGAATTTTATAAAAAATGGAAACGTGGTCACTTATGTGAGCAAACTTGAAACACTCTTTGTGCAGTTGAAGGGATTAGAAGCTGGAATCAAAGATGAAATGCTTATTAATAAAATATTACAGGGACTACCTGACTCATACAGATCATTCAAAACAGGATGGGATTTTCTACCAGTTGGTAATAAGACCCTTGAAACTTTAAAAAGTAAACTTTTGGCAGAGCATAATAGAGAGAAAGCAGTTAAAACCGAAGAGGCTGTTGCCTTTCTGGGAAAGGAGAAAAGAACCTGTCACAGGTGCAAAAGAGCTGGACACATAAGTCGTTATTGCAGAGTTAACATTGACAAGAATAATGATAGGTCCGAAAACAATAAATATGATAAATCAGTTAATCGTGGAGACAGTAACCGTCAATGCGGAATTTGTAAAAAAACAAACCATGACGAAAGTCAGTGTTTTTTTCGAAACAAAAATGATAATAAAAACAATTCGGGTAAAAACCCTAAACCTGATAAGAATGTTGCCTTCGTTGCTCACGGGGGAGAAAATGAGTATTGCGAGGACATATGGGTCTTTGATTCCGGCTGCACTTCTCATTTAACTAATAAAATTAACATAATGACCTCAGTAAAAAACGTTAATACAAGAGTATCTAGTGCCAAAGAAGGTGTTGACATACAAATTGAAGCGATGGGAAAGGTAATAACAGACAA